CTAGGGCGCCCTCGGGCGCGAACACCGCAGTCCATCTGAAAGAGCTGACGCCTCACGTCGCTCCCCTCTCGCGGGCTTGGAGTGCCTTCAGCACTCGCCCCTGCACACACGCTCGGTGAAGCTGTAAAGGCCATCTGCGGCCAACAGCAAAAACGGTACGAAAAAAAAAAAAAAAAAAAGCATATAATGACAATTGACAATATACTCGTATCCATAAAAAACGTACGTGTCGATCAGAACATTTGTTATCGATCGTAATGGTAATAGAAATAATTTTATACAAATATACTATACATAAAATGTCTATAAAATAATAATATAGTTTAAATTCTAAGTTATCTATAGAGAATATTCTGAGTTTAAATTTATATCTAATAACAATTTGACAGGTCGGATGTCTATCTGATGTTATAAATAAGTCTATCTAACTTGACTGAAGTTATGTACTTTATAATTTATATGGAAATAGAATATTTATTATTTACATAAGCTATAGGGCAACGACACCTCTCCAACTATGGATAATTGGATCGTTATATTTCAGATTCTTATAGGAGTTCAAAACTTTTAATAACAATTCACTCATGACATGTGAATAAATCTTAGAGTTTATCACAATGAAAACCCGAAATTTAAGGTGATACATACATACACAGAACAGTCAATGTCCGTAGACTATGGAAAGATACTACGTATAATAATGCAATAATCACTATTAAAGATGTTTTTGGCAAAACTTTAGTCCATAGTCATATTATAAACTGGCTATATTCCGCGGTTTCACTCGCGTACTGATGTACATAGAGTCCAAATTTCGAAATTCGAATATTAACTACCCATGTCTCACATTTCATTAAATTATGTTCAGAAGTTTTTGCGCGAAAGAATAACAAACATCTATTATCCATCTATGCATCCTTACAAACTTTTACATTAACAATATTAATAGAATAATAGAGAGGATGTAAAAGTGTGATAAGTTTAAATAAATTTAAATACAAAATTTAAGACTATTTTTATTCTGATTCACATGTGCAAACAGAATAATCCTCTCTTTGTGCTGCTATAAACATTCCTAAGTGTATTAGAGTTTATATTTTTATAAAAAAAGAAATAAAAACTTGGATAATTAAAATTTTGCATGCATTGATTGAAGCCCTTTTAAAAATAATATAAAATAATGAGAAGCATTGCTTTTGAATTCTACAAGTTATTTTTAATTATAACTTTAGACAAAAAGAAATTTGGTGAAATAGAAATTGGATTTGTGTATTGTTGAAAACATTATAAATACCATTTTTGGGTCAACATTTCTAAACTAGTCTATATAATAATATATTGCTATATCCATCAACTTTGTCAGTAACAAAAGTATCCTGTTCTGTATTAATTGAGAATGACAATCTACTTGTGTTGATTAAGTAAGAAATATTTAAACTTCTTCACAAATCTTATCAGATAATTGTGTGAATATGTAAGTAAAATTACAATAGCACCGTAATTTTGTATATTAGTAGAATATAGATAGTTTATGTGACACATTTATTAAATAAGAAAAATCCCTTACGATTACAATTTTCGCAAGAAAATTTTGAGTGAAATATGATTGTTCTTTGGTCGCTACAAAATAAACAATAAAAGAATAATCTAAGGAACTTTTCTTTTTACGGGTATTAGAGTAGACTCTTGGATATATGGCGATAAAATACATTTACAAAACAAAAGGAAATTCCATTCAGTATATTGGCTGCGGAATCAAGAGGACGTCATTATGCAAAGAGTAGATTTGATTTATTATATCAAAGAATAAAATGGTTCTCGTTCTCTATCTAACGTTAAAAAGCTTTTTCATCGCGCTGAATTGCGACATATAAATGCAGACACGACTTCTTGAATCTTTTCTCCATAATTGATTCCGCCTTGGGAGATATTTCTTTTTACGCGACTGCAGCCTAGTAGAAAGAATTGATTGCATGTTTTATTTTGAACAGTTCATTTAATTTCAATCCACAGACGTAGTTGTTTGTACAATCAAGATCCAATGGATCTGCAACGCTTGTTTCTATATTATGTAACTGCTCGTACTTTACAATAAATAATTCGAGCTTCGCTCAGGTAGTCTACTAATAAACTAGAGCAATACGATAAAAGTAAGACGATAATAAATCGGTACTGTAATCGTACGAGATAACCACTAATATTGGGGGGAAAAGGGATTAATAATAAGTGGGATTAGTAGCCCCATTGCTAGCAATACACTCTTTCCTCAGGGTCACCAAGTCAATTTACCCGCGGTTCCACTTGGAAACCATCAGGCTCAGTTCTAACTGACCTCCTTTTACATCTGCATCTATCATCATTCACTAGTGCTCCGTCAGGATATATCATCAACACGGGCGAGATTACCATACCATTATCATCCATTAAAAATACCCACCTTAAATGAGATAGATACCAAAATACGAAAATTTCTAAATTATATTAAAATCATTTTCTAATACATAATTTGCACACAGAAACTTACATATAATAAGAATTTAGACGTAGGTTACTTATTAATATATACATGAGTTATACTAAATCTTATTCGAAACGTTATATTATATGTACATATTTTAACGTTACAGGTGCCAAATGACTATTTATATAATAATAATAATAATTGTTCTATCTTCCACCGGCATTATACCAAAGACTCTAAGTAATAGCCTACAAACACTAAATATCCACACTAATCAAACATACCTACTACAAAAGGCCACTATCTTAAATACCTGCCATATTACTAGAAAATTCCTCACCTCGTCTACTATTACATCTTCCTACTCTGAAACCTCTCCTACACTTGGTTAAGGCCCGTGTCGGTGAGTAAACCTTCGTCCATGTGAAGAAGAGAAAGAAAAACAAATATATATATATAATAATAATAATAATAATAAAATTTATTGCCATTCTTCACAAATTATAATGTACATATATTAATTAATCAATATATTGTCCATTAATCGTATGCGCCTGGCAATAGGTACAAACTCAGCTTTTGCTGGACTGATGTTCGTTCAGCGCTGATTTTCAGTTTGCACCTACACGGGGCACCGTTTCATTATCAAATATATATATTGATGTAGATATTACATAAAAAATAAAAGAAAACAATACAAAAACTAAAATAAACAAGTATAAAAACAATGAATAAAAGAAAAAAAAATATAACAGAACAAGAATCCAATGTACCAAATTAGTGACAAGAAAAAAAAAAAAACCCTTAAAAGTGATATACAATTTCGATGCACTACATTCGATGACGAGAGCCAGCTCCACGATCCGAGGGTTGCTTCCGCATAAGTAAAATCCTTTTCTTCATTAAGTTTTTAAAATGTAATGGTGTTAAAGGTTGGTGTAATGGTGGAGGCAGGTCGTTCCAAATTTTTGCGGCTGTAAATTTAAAACCTCCTCTATAATTTGCAGATCTGTGTGGTGGAATTTTTAATATATTTAATCTGCACTCTCGAAGTCCTCTATGATGTCTATTTCTAACCCAGTCCAGTTTCTCGTACAAATATTCTGGCCGTCCACTATGAACAATCTTCTGAACAAAACAAGAGAAATGAAGCTCTCTTCGTGAAGCCATATTCAATATATCATTTTTGTTGTAATATGGTGTAATATGTTCTCGTTTAGTGATGTTATAGCAAAAACGTATGCAGGCATTTTGTACTCGCTGAATAGATCCTCGAGTTCGCTCTAGCAATCTAGGGCCATATACTGTGTCGCAATAGTTGAAAAGGGACAATACTAGAGACTCCACTAGAGTTACACGAACTGGTATGCTCAAATATTTCCTCACATGATAAAGTGTTTTAAGTTTATAAAATGCTAATCTTATCTTTGTATTTACATGTTCTATGAAGCGTAATTCCTCATCAAATAAAAGTCCAAGATTTTTTGCAGTTTCAACTCTTTCTATTGGCTGGTTATTGACAAGAATCTGAGGACATTGGCGTTTAGTTTTCTTGCACTGCATTTTATTACCCAATACCAAAAACTTGGACTTCGTAGGGTTTAGTACAAGAGCATTACAGTGACACCATTTGAGAAGCGAATTCAAATCATTATTTATATTTATTTCCGCCTGTCTTAAATTTTCAGGTTCGAAAGAGTAGTAAAGTTGGGTATCATCCGCGTAAAGATGTAGCTGGCAATTTCTAATGTTAGCAGGAAGATCAGATGTATATATCAAAAATAATAAAGGGCTCAGTATGGAGCCCTGCGGCGTTCCTCTATTAACAGCTTTTATTTGAGATTTAGTTATAACACCCTGATCTGTCCGCATCTCCACGTATTGGCGTCGATGCTCCAAAAACGAAGCAAACCATCTACATGCCGCAGACGACACGCCATTATATGACATTTTCGTCAAAAGAAGTTCGTGATTTATACAATCGAAGGCACGTGAGAAGTCTAAAAGAACCAGCATACTTGCCTTTCCATCATCAGATGACTTTAGTATGTCATCAGTGACTTTGGAGAGGGCAGATGCCGTCCCATGATTACTTCTGAATCCCGATTGCAATTTTGGTAGCAGATTTTCGCTTTCAAGATACTCTGCGAGCTGCTCATAAACCACCCTTTCTATTACTTTGGACAGGATCGGGAGAAGACTAATAGGCCGCAGATCTTTAAAATCATTAACTTCTGATCCTTTTGGAATTGGTTTAATTTTAGCAATTGACCATTCTTGGGGAAAATAATTGGATGAGATTGAATCGTTAATTAATTTTGTAATAATAGGAAGGGTAACATTGAGTGTCATTCTCAGCATTTCTATAGTTATTCCATCGTGGCCGCAAGCTTTAGTATTGACTGCATTGATTATTTTAATTATTTTCTCCTCGTCACACGATGTGATATTAAATTCATTGCTCACCATTTTCCTTGATATGGGTTTGTTATTCACTCTGTTACTTTGTGGATCATTGGGAACATCAAGAAAAAAATTATTAACAGGGGTTCATAAGATGATCTGGTATCAATGACTGGTCTACATTATTTGTAGTACATATTTGTTTCAGATGATGCCACATTTGTTTGGGTTTGTTTTTATTATTATTAATGTAAAATGTGAAATAAGCCTTTTTTTCGCGCTCCAAGGCACCACTTGTATAGTTGCGAAGACTTTTATAGTAATCAAAATGACTGTCCTCTCCCGATGCCCGAGCCCTGCGTAGAGCAGAGTCGCGTAGTCTCATCATGATCTTAATGTTATCGGTAATCCATGGATGTGGCTTATTGCTATTGATACATATCTTTCGCATTGGAGCATGAACATCAAATAAAGTGTTAATTAGTTCGTTAAATCGGTTAACTCTTGCGTCTAAGGTTGTCATCTTATTTACACTTTCCCAGTCCAAGCTGATGAGATCATTATTAAAACTATTCATATCAATATTGCCAAGAATCCTCTTATATATATATTGCGGACTTCGCTGTGGTTTATTCATTTTAAGTTCTGCCACCACCATGGCATGATCGCTAAGCTTTGGGTTGTGATAGACGTAAATTCCGGAGCAGATGGCCGGTGTATCAGTAATTACAAGATCTATTTGTGACGAAGTATTATCAGTCACCCTTGTTGGTTCATTAACAAGTTGGTAAAGATTTCGTTGAAATAGAAAGGTTGTCAAAGCAGATGTAGACGAGGCTCCCTTATTATTTATATTTACATTGAAGTCTGTGAGTATATAAATTGAATCATAACTCGAAAAAGTGTCCAACGAGCTACTAAGATTTTCAATAGCAGTATCTACCGAAACTGACTCTGGTCTATATGCTGTTCCTATAGCTAAACGAGCAGTTCCCGGAAGGTGCAATTCCACCCACATCTGCTCTAAATCAGAAGTGGGATGTGGCAGTACTCGTATCCGCAGTCCTTTTTTGTAATAAAAACCTACACCTCCACCTCTCGAACCCGTTTTTCTAGCCTTGTGTTTAAAAACGTAACCCGGGATCGCAGGCGCTAGCCCCGTCTGATCATTCTTTAACCACGTTTCGTTTATTGCCAACACATCTAGTCTATAGTTATTCACTGCTGCCACTAGCTCATCCTGACCGGTATTTAAAGAACGTATATTTATGAGACCTAATCGAAAACTGATTGACTTTTTAATCATTTCCTTCACATTTATTAATTTTAATTCTACTGATAGGCAGCAAATATCTGTTACAAGAGTTATGTAATTTCTGTTCACACATTAAACCATATTGACACATAATTAGAGATCTATCACAATAATGTTTGCATTTCCAATAACAAGTGGTTAAAAAATATCTGAATATTCTCGATAAATTACTGGATAGAAGTGATAATACATTATTATCCATAGATAAATTAACCACATTATTCCCAGAACCTACAAACTGATATTTAATAAAAAACATCTGTAAGTAGGCACTACAATCAAAATATAAATACAGGACGCAGCCTGTCGACTGATATTTAACAAAAAATATTATTAATGTGGTATTAATATCCATGAACATACATAAAAAATCGTCCCAATGATTTATATATAGATATGCAACAGAAAATAATAGTAAACTATTGTTCCAATTAATAAAATATACTACTACACTTTTTAAATATTCATACTCGTATTGAATAAAAAACAATAATAACCAGGTACACCAATCAATACACAAATACACAACACTATTTATATGATATCTAGATTGATATTTCTTAAAAAAACACAGTAACATATCACTACAATGAACATATAAATATAATAAGCTATTTTTACAGGTACCAGGTTGACATCTAATAGAAAACAATAGTAAAAAAAAAACTCCATGATCAATGCTTAAGATTACCACATTGTTTTTATAATTTAAAGATTGATACTTAACATAAAATAATAGTAAAGAGGCACTGTAACCACCGCATATATATACATTTTTATAGCATACAGATAGACATTTTAAGTAAGACTGCACTGATAAGGCTATACTCTTAACACATTCAAATCTACATAAATACACTATTCCATAATTTTTATAACTTACTGAATTATATTTAACTTTAAATCGTTTAAACATTAAAAGAAATAGCTTATAAATAAATTTAAGATATATAATAAAGAGATATTTATTATTGAACGGCCGCCGATCCAAAAACCCTGGTAAGATCTTTATCTGTACGTATACGATACCGTGGTGTATCCTCACCTTGATGTTGCCTTACAAATATTTTGCCGTCCCTTGTCCATACGTATCGCCAGTTGTGGCGTACTCCAAGCTCACGTGCTCGCTGAAATAACTGTCTGTTTTTTAGTGTCAGTCTTTCGTTTATATAAAATTTACTTGGTGGCCCTGGAATCTCTGTGCCTTCTGCAGTGGCACCACGACGAACCCTTGCAGCCTGGAGCAACTGATCACGCAGGGCGCGACGCGCCAGTCGTACCACCACCAAGCGTGGTCGACCCGAGACTTTATTATCAGAATCTAATAACCTTCCGACCCGCACTGCACTGGTTATATCTTGCACTGTCAGCTGCATGCCCAACTTGCTAGCTATGCTAATCACATTATGCGTGACATTTTCTCCCTTTTGTTCAGGTATGCATGAGATCTGAAGGTCATTGAGCAACAAATCTTGATCCCTATCATTGAGCTCGATTTTTAAGTTTTCAATCGACTGTAACAATGATGTGTCACTTTGGAACACGGAATCAGTGCTAGTGCGTCGTTCCATTTTATCCATACGTATACCCAATTCATCCAATCGGTTTTCACATGCATCTATCCTTAAATTTAAACTACTAATAGTATCGGTAAACGATTGCATCTGCAAATGCATCTCCCTCATGTCATCTCGAAGAAGACGTATTTCCTTTAGCAGCATTTCATTTGTAGTCGTGTTCGCCATATGTTCCGGTGAAGCCGAAGAACGGTCCGGTGAGAGCGCACTACCCCCGCGTCTCTGTGTCACGTTGTCTGCCTCCGGTCTGATAGGAGTATTTGTGTTGTCCTTTTTTGGAACCCTTGACTTGCATGAGAGACACTTCCAGGAGTCTTTATGCTTCTGTGTCATGGTGTTATAGAAACGTGACTCTGATACATTAGCACATTCCAAATCATAGTTTTGTTTACAGGCACTGCAGATCAAACATCGCTTATTTTCGATAAATATAAAACTCTCAATCTTTGTAAAGTGAACATAAAACAAATTAAATCATTTTAAACATTTTAGAAAGTCTTGAATGAATTCTAATAGGCAATTGTTTAAAAAATTAAAAAAGTATTATATGAAATACACGTAATAATTAGCTTTTACTGTTTTAACTATAATTCCTTATACTGACGAAATAAGTATACCTATTTTTTTATCACTACAAAAAAACTCTTTTATGTTACCTTCAAAGAAAGATACAGATTACAAAATTCGCAATACGTACACACAAAAAAATAACAAAAGCAAGATAAAGAGGCAACAATAGGCGGCTTCATCGCTAAAAAGCGATATTTTCCAGGCAACCTTAGGATGATGAGGACTATTGCACATCATTGCTAAAGGAGTAAAACTAGATAGTACAGCAGATTGCTATAATTTTTCTTAAACCTTACTGACAAATAACAATTAAGTATGGAAATAGTTTTATTGCGAGATAGAATCCGAAACGACAATATCCGCAAAAGGACCAAAGCAACCGACATAGGCCGAAAAATAAGCAAGCTGAAGTGGCAATGGGCTGATCACATAACTTGAAGAACCGACAACTAATAGGAAAGAAAGTTTCTTGAGTGGCGACCCCGTACTGGCAAATGCAGTAAAGGATGACTAGATAGAGTGGTGACCTCAAATGCATTACAGGGAGTCAGTGAATGCAGTTGGTTCAGAACCGTTCCTTATGGCAGTCTACGGGGAAACCTATATAATGAAAGTTTATACCTTACATAATTTATGTAAGATATATTTTCTGATCTTTATTAACAACCGCCAGCGTTTATTATGCATATAAGTAAACTGTAGGTAAACAAATACCTTCATTACGTTCTTTCCTGGAAAACAACTCACAGAATAAACGATCCTGGTAATAAAATATGTATAGTCTACTATTATTAAATTTACGCAATATTTAGCATGATAGCGATATGCCTGACTGAATATTGTGGCTCTATATTATAATACTTTACATGTAATAAAAAAATGAAACCAAAAATGTAGATACATTTTATTTTTTAGAAATAGTTTATTAATATATAGTAACATACAAAGATAAACTGAAAACGATTGTTTTCAAAAAAATTCTCTATTTGTCTTAGCGTTTAATGTAAAAACGGTTGGACTGTTTATGATTAACTTTTTATAATATATTGTATAAAATATATTTCAACGTATAAACTGAAAAATATACAACAAAATACTCTCCAACTGGAATAAAAATGTATCCTAGGTACATTTAAATTGAACTAAGTATTTATATATTAATACTAACCATCTGATCCGTCTTCGCACGTGTAGATAAAATTTTCGAAAGAAATATACATATAATAATGTATAATACTACAATAGTGTAGATTTCTATATGTGAAAGCTTTTATAAAAATGATAGAGTAGTTTTTGAGTTTATCCATTATAAACAATAAAGTCTTAACTTTTAATAATAATAGTAAAGGTATAAATTAAATAATATATATAATAGGCTAAATAATATTTAAAAAAAAATACTCTCTAGCAACGGAATTAAAACTAATTATTATTTTTTTAAAGCAATCTGTTGTCAAATAAAATATTGGTTGTGCATAACATAAGGAATTAAGTGTGAAAAGAAAATCCAAAAATATATCTTTTAATATATTATTATCCATAAAAATTGCTACATTACATATGTCATTATCTAATCATTCAAAATAAGTCCTAAAAGAAATAGGTAAATACAAGTAGGTGGATCTAGTATAATTTATTATAACCTAATAACTGTTGAACGTTAGAATTTCTTTGTTACATTTTCCATAATATATTATTTAAATATATATTTATATAATTAATATTTGTATTGGAAAGTCAAGAAGATAAATTTAAGGACGATGACAAAGTTACGCCCGACAGAGATCGATTAAGACATTAAATTACCTTGTTTCTTAGATCTTTGTTTCGAACAACAAAGCCACCGGCGATTAACTTAGGAACATAAAATTCCTTTGACGACAAGCTCAATAAATAATTAACTACCAATAATATATGTATGTATGACGAAAATCTTATTATTTTACAAGCTACTTTAGAATAATCAATACACTGTAATACTTCAAATAAATAAATCTCTATTCATTTATTTAATTAAATCTTTTTATAACTTTATAACGTCACGTCCAGAGAAATAATGTTGAATTATTAAAAACATATATAATTTGCTGTTGAATATTGACTTTATCTACAAGTATTTTTTTTTTTAATTAGGTGTAATCTGTAGGTGTTAATTTGGTTAACAAATTTCTTTCAAATTGGTTCACCCACTGATTATAAATGTGTATACTGACACATAACCTGGCAATTATCGAACAAATGTCTGTCGAATGTAAAACAATTCCTATTTACCCAATTTACACAATAAAACAACATCAAAACCGCAATTCATTTTATTTAATACACTTTTTATTTTAACAAACCGTGATATGGGATTTGCGATACCACATATACTCGTACATAGGATTTGAACTCGCATAATAAACAATAGACTTACATCTCATCTCATTACATTATAGTACAAAATTATAGGTATTCACCTATAATACTTCCACCAATCATCACATGTGAGAACATAAAAAGATACTTTAGATGCTTCACAGAGTATCACGTACCATACTCCTACCTAAAGTACACTGTCTGTTGACTGCAAAGTTTACGACGCGATACCCGCCTGTGGGGTTAACCATAAATCGTAGTTGCTACGTGTTGTACCACAATGATAATTATCTAACTACCTGCTGCGCTACAGTAATACATTATTAACAGGATTTATACTGCAAGATGGCAACGTCTGTGTTAGCAGTCAAAATTTCAAATGTAAACAATAATTCATATTAGAAAATTGTATTTTTCCCTATTGTTAAATTCAATACAATATCTGAAATTTTGACATTTAATCTTAAAGAAATCGAGCTTCAAAAACAGGTCAACTTTATGTCAGCTAATTATTAAATTAGTTGACTTATTTTTTATGAATATTCTATTTAGAGTCATCAAAAACACAAATACATATTTCTTCGCACAAAACGACTTCAATCGTAACCTATAAATGACGAGATATTTCTTGTATTACATTATACTTATGCTTCATCCTCTAAATTAGTTACTTGTAAACTTAAGAAATATACTATGTAGTTACACGTAAGTGATACCACTTTGCACTAAAATGTGTAGGTATTGTGATTTATTAGTTTTTTTTTTGCGGATATTTGTGTCGCTTATCGAACCGTGTCATGCGATAGTTTCTTCATTCAAGTTTCAGTGATCAACCATTGCGCATCTCTCATTTCTCTTTTAAAAGGGACTGACATATTGTGAAACAGGCTATGCCACCATGACATACTTTCAAGTTTATAATATACTTACAAATAACTTATCCAATCAATTTTTGAGATCGTGTCTCCAGGCCTATATATGATTTTCCACAATAAGGGCAGATCTCTGGATTTGATTCCTTATGAATTACATCTTACCCACCAGGGTAACCAAATCTCCTAACGCATACATTGTCTGGTTTAACAGCTTTATTAACTATAGTCAATCCAAATACAACAATTATATATACCGTAGAATAACCTCCTCTTCATACATACCTTACATTATAAATATTGCGTAAAGAATATATGTTATTATTAATAATTGCAATCCGAGATTTACTTAGCAATATTTTCATATATTCCCACAATCGTAACGATTTGTTAAAACATGAATAGCCTGCCTATATGAGTATATTAAGAGCGTTTCCAACGAAAATGGTGACATCTGGATTATGTGCCATTATTTTGGTTATTTTGGTTAAATAATTTTTAATATTTCTGAATAATAGTTAAAAAAAAATACTCTATTAATTTTGCAAAGTTATTATAATTATAAAGTGCTTCCATAAGTACAGTCTTGTTAAGGATTATAGTTCTTTTTCAACCATACCGGTATATAAAAGTAACTCCACACAGATGACTACAAACGTTTTTTAACTTTTCTCACAAGATAAAACTTTACTTTCCCCTGCCTTTTTATTTTAATGTTTTACAACACCAAGATTATGACGAAGAAAACTTGTAATATACAGCAAAGTACAGCTCACGATTTCAACAGTCTGCCGCAAGATTGCGAAAAGTGGTTTAGTGAAAGTTTCAAATTTTATTCCCACTTTCTGTAAAGTTTCAAACTGCAGTTTAACATGTTCTTAGTATTCCTTAGAAAAATAAGTAAACGTTTTTTTCCAGTATTTATTTAATCAGTATTAACCATAAATTAAAAATAAAATACAGAATTAGATGTTTTACTGAACAGTTGATCAGTATTATTAAGTTTAATTCCGCAACCATTAATACTCGTATGTGTGTGACTGCCAACATTTAAGGATTGACTATGTCTACGCACGTGTTGCAACATGTAGTTATACTGAGTTATACTCAAAAATTTATGACTAATAAGGACGGTCATAGAACTTTTACTAATAATACATGTAACGATAGTCATTCCTTAAATGTTGATAGTCGCACGCTTACTAATGGTAGTGGAATGAAACAAAATAAATCTAATAAAAATAATAATTTCATTGCCTTCAAAACAAAATAACCGGTTGTATGTGAACAAAGGCAATCTTATATTTAACTAGATTTTACCCGCAACTTCTTCCGCGTGATAAGAATACGTTAACTGAAGGGAATAAAAAGCTACTTATATTTCCATATCATATTCAATGGTATGTGTATGCCATTTTTGTCACCGTTGGTTGAGCTGTTAAAGTTCTCAGAGGTAAGGAATAAACAAAAACAATAACATTCACATATAATGTATTATTTGTGTAGTTGACTTATAAAGAACGTAAGGAATCG